GATTTTGAGGAGACAACCAAACTGAGTACATACCATCCTATAAAAGGTTTTAAAAATGGAATGAACTTCATCTTAGGTTTTCATAAGATAAAGCCAAGTATATCGACTAAAGTCATCAACAAACACAACAAAGTAACGAAAACCAAGTAACAAAGTAATAGATTCAAGACCCCACACAACAGAATGAACAAGCTACAAAAGAGTTGTACTTTTATTAATACTAGTAAGATAAGAAACATGACATTGTTTGGCAAGAACGCATGTTTCACAATTTAACTCAAAAGATTCAACAGTAGCAAACTAGGGAAGCATATGCTTCAAAACATAAAGAGGTAAAAGACCTAGTCTATTATGTCATCGCATTAACAGATCTTTATTGACATTACTATTCCTAACATTAGATTGATCTGCAACATAATAAGAAGTTGGCCTCGTGTTCAGCAAATACAAGCCATTGTCCTCATGTCCACTTCCAATCGTCTTCCCCGTGTCTAAATCCTGAAACACACAGTGAGATAGAAAAAAAGTTACACTACAATTCAAGCCTTTTGTAATGTGACCGACAGAAAGGAGGTTATTGGTAAACTTTGGGACATGAAGAACAGAGGATAAGGTAAGATTATTAGAGGCAGAAACAGTGCTCTTCCCCGCAATGGAGGTGAAGGTGTCATCAGCCACTCTAACCTTATCCTTACCAAAACATAAATTGTACAAAGAAAAATCAGATGCCATACCAGTTATGTGATCAGTGGCTCCTGAATTAATGATCCAGGGTGGCCCACTAGAAAATGTGGAAACCTGATGTACCGAATGAGAGGTACCTGTCTAAGCGAAGCTAGAGGTGGAAATGGAGGAATGTTGTACTAGCAGATGTCGGAGAGCGTCAAGTTCAACCCCGGACAAAGAACTCGGTGGCCCTGAGGAGGTATGACCAGTAGAAGCAGTCTCACGCTCTGTTGTATGTGCCATAGATAACCCACTAAATGGATCAGGCCTTAGCCTAGCATTCACATGAGCAGGAGCTGAAGTAAGGCGATCGTGTAGATTCCAGCATGTTTCCCTAGTGTGGCGCGTACGCCCACAGTGATCACACCTCAACTTGCTCTTGTCATCCTGCTTCCCTCCTTTTGGAGGATTGGGCTTATTCCATTGTTGTGTGGCAAGAGCAGAACTCTCAGACAATGGTGTACTTCTGGCTCAGGCTTAGTGTATACAAGTGAAGACATAGCCTTCATTCTACTCTCCTCAACTTAGATATACGAAAACACATCTCTAACAGAAGTAGGGGCTAGATACTTGCCTAACACTTGTATCCTGGCATGCTCGTATCTCGAATGCAGACGATCCCAAGAACTCATAGATTTGATTCCTTTCTACCATAGCATGAAATGCTTTAACATCAGCTGCACACACAGGTATGTAGTCTTGGTAGTGATCTAACTCTTCCCATTTACCATGTAGAGTGTGGTAATATGTAGCAAGAGTTTGGTCTTCCTTCTTGAATCTTGAAATCTGTTGTTGGAGTTCATACAATTTTGCAATATTACCAACCGAGGAATACGTCTCTTCCACAGCCGTCCATAGCTCTTTAGTTGTTTTCACAAACAGAAACCCTTTGCTGATTTGTGGCTGCATTGACTGCAACAATCACGTCATAACTAGTGCATTATTTGCACTCCACTCTTTGAATTCAGGATCGCTCTTAGAGGGATACGTGACAGTCCCTTCGATATGGTCGATCATCCTATGACCAGTGATATGCTTACGAGCAGATTGAGCCCCCTCCATATAGTTCGTCTCATCCAACCTAACAGTCGTAATACAAAAGCTTGGATGGTGATCACTACTACCTCCCAATACTGGTGTCAGACTAGGAGAAGATCCAGCTTCTTTTGAAGTCATCTTTGAGCCAGACATTTTATCAAACAGTTTCTGGGCATACAATCCTCAGAAACAAAAGCAGCAACAAAATATGTAGAGAACCACCTCTCTAACACACAAACTTCAACTAGAAAGATTACCGTCTTCTGAGATGCATAAAAAAGCGACCACACAAACCCTAGAAAGCAACAAAGTAGACCATACCAGAATCGCAAACGTCGAAGAAAAAGCCACTATTGCAGATCCTCACTCACACACACACACAAAAAAAAAAAAAAAAAAAAAAAAAAAAAAGCCCACCAATTGAGACTGCAATAGATAAAAAAAACAGGGCCAAAAGAATTTTTTTTCGGACATCGAACCCCAAGCAGGGGCGCGCTGCCCCTACGACCCCCAGCCAACTCACCGCGGAGTTAGATCCGTGGTACATGTGTATGTAATTAACACTACTTCCTTGCAAACAAATCCCATCATGGAATCTCTTCAAAACCCTTTACACCCACTAGGGTTTCAACTACACACCTAGAGCTTTACAAACCATGCTCTGATACTATGTTGACTTTAAGATATAATCAAATCAAGAGTAAGTGATAAAAAAGAAAAAGAGAAGAAAGCGGATGAGAGAAAAAGAGAAAGAGATGGGGAAAGATAGAAAGAATTAAAGAAAACTTTCATCCTTTCACCACATTCTATTTATAATAACAAGTTTCAGAAATAACACATAAGGCCCAACATTATATAATTAATAACAAATAAGCCCCTGACAACACTTATTTCAGAACTCCAACACCATTAAGTAATTAACCTTGTTTAGCTAACCCTAGGAAGGCAAATTGACTTAACCTGAACCCCTCTTCTTCACCTCGCTCTTGCACTATGAATTTATTTAAATGGGCACCCAAAACTAAAAATGAAATATAAATGCAAGAAGTTTATTTAATGGAAGTTACAAGTGGTTAATTTAAAACCCCTTCAAAAGTCAGTGGATTTAAGTGAAATTTTGAATCATGATTGTAACCCAATAATTTATTATCAATAACTGTTAATATCCAATTTTTTTTATCTTATTTACAATCCCTAATCATCAAATAGGAGCGTGTTGCATATGAGTTAATAGAGGTGGAGCTCTGGCAGTACTCTTCCTCCGAACTTCTTCCTCTTCCGTTACTTCTTTCTTCACCACTCTTGCTCGTTACTTCTTTCTTCACCACTCTTGCTTTGAACACCCCCCCAACCCCCCCCCCCCCCCCCCCCCCTTCTTTTCTTCTCTCTCTCTCTCTCTCTCTCTCTCTGTTCTTGATCTTGACTGCCTTCAATCTTTATATTATATTACAAAAAGTGAATTTTTGTTGTGAGAGAAATAACTTTGAAGAATTACTTAATTTAATGTTTGAGAGAGAGATTCGAAAGCGCATTTTAGAATCAATGTCTGCATCAGTGGAAGAGGGAGTAGGATCATAGAAGCAACGGATTACTCTTTGGGTTAATCATGAACTAGGAAATTCCAAGCATACCTATAAGCGTCCAATATTATGAAATAGACTTTTTGGGTTTCTTTTGTTGGATGTGATTCTAGAATTTTTTACGATCTCGAAGATCTTCTGCAATGGTGATAATTTTGTTTAGTGGCAATAGCAATAAAATAAAAAATAAAAAAAGATCAAGAATGTTGTTTTCTGAATTTCTATTGAAAGAAATAGAAATCAATCATATCTTCGTATATCTGTATAATATATATATAAACATATGTGTGTATCTATAGTTCAGACTCAAAGAACACAGATTCAATCCATGTATGCATGAGGTTTAGAAAACTGTATGAAAGATAAAACTCATGTAGCTCAAAACTCAACACATTAATTCATGGCAAAAGTATATTTGTAGAGGCTTTAGTGGATTTTTTGGATAATATGAGGCTATAGGGTTGTATTTTTTGTATGGTTGTTTTTATGATGCGCTCCCCTTTTTAGTGCCTCTTAATGATATTTTACTCACCAAAAAGTATATTATAGCTACTTATTAGATATTTAAGGGTAATATTGTCAAAATTAAAGTGGCTTCTTCATTCAAAAAACTTCTAAAAAATGGATTCATGAAACATTATTTCTCATTTGGATTCCTTCTAATGAAATTCTTCTTGGAAAATGCCTTCTCACCGAAGGACCTTTTACTGTTTAGAAGCTCCCGCAAACACTACTGTAATCTTGCTTCCAAGACGTTATTTGGTAGATTTTCCAAGAAAACATGTTTCATTGGATGGAAACCACTCCAAAAGCATGTCTACTAGTATATAATCAATCCCACTTTCTTCTACCACTTCCTCTCAAAATAATACAATTCCAGGATTTCCCAAGATTAAGCATAAGCAACACCAATAGTTACAAGAATATAACAAACCATTATAACACCATATAATAGAACCTCATAAATTTAGATCTTCATGAGAGGAGCCACATTAGGCCAATGCGAACACCAGTCTTAATCATTGCAGACTAGAGGTTCGTTGAACACATAAAGGGAAAGCTTAATCTCTCAAAGTTAGAACACAGTTGCCTTACATTTTCCTTTTTGTCAAGATAAATTACTATCTTCCCACATACAATCAATTAAATTAGAAAGGACTTCAGGAAAATGAGTGGGTGCACTGCTTAATGGAATGTCAGAGTGGGAATAAAACTGACAACATCAAAACCTATCTTTTACCCAAACGAGGGGTGAGATGATAGTTTGCTTAGAGAAGTATTGTCCTATCATTTATTTATAGTTGCTATTTGTATAATGTAAAAGGTTAATACACTTAAGTAATATTGGTTCATAGTATGATAAACCTTTTTTTTTTAAGATTGATTCATAGTATGATAAACCCTTTTTTTTTTTGTTTTTTTTAACAGCATAGTATGATAAACTTGGGTCTGATACATATCAGAGAGGACAAATTATGCAATGATTTTTAGATATCTACAAATTATGCAATAAAATTTCTAATCTAATCAGAAAGCATAATTCGCGGAGCAAGTAAAGGAAGGGAAAGATGGCGTTCATATAGCAATTTATATCAAGTAAAACATATTTATCTGCACTCAACGCTAACCAAAAGGCTTTTTATACCAAAAAAGTACCTCCGACAAACATTGTTTAATAAATCTCTTGTGCACATCCAACGCATATGTCTCCAACTCCAAGTCATTCTCTAATAATCTCCGAACACCCTCAAAAGTCAAAGAACTGCATCCAGAAACAAAATTAAATAATTAAACAGCATTCCAATTGACTGCGGACACGCTCAGAGCCTTCACTCCCTTAACTAATAAATTAGATGAGGCATAAAAAGTAAAGTTAACAGGTTCAAACTTTATGCAACAAAAGGGAATAAAAAAGGAAGATATAGCCAATGGGTAACATTAATTTTCTCAACAATGTCAGTAACAGTTCTAAACACAAAAAACTACAAAAGAACAATTCTTATCCCCTCCTCTTCATCTGTGAGGAGGGTTTAATGAGATTGACTGCAAAAACAGTTCGTATATAAAAATTTATAGATGGGAAGATGGAGGAATTTGGAGATGCCATTTTTTTAGCAAGTACAAGCATATTACTGAAAAATGCAAAATTGCACAGCATAGATACACGTAAAGTATACATCAGGTATACAAAAATTATTGCCTCGTTGTACCCAAAAGCGCTAAAGCAAATTCAGTGAAGAGAAGGAGAGAAGAAAACTAAGAACTCAAAGGAATGGATTTTAGCTTCAAAACCCAGGTATACATGTGTGTGTGTGTGTGAGAGAGAGAGCGAGAGAGAGAGGAATTAGTTCGTGTCCGCGTCAAGGGGATGGGTGACCTGAAACCTCTTCTCGCAGTAAGAATTGTATAGGCTCTGTTGTGTGGCTATACCCTAGTCTCACTCGCTCTTACCTCCCTGTCGGTTTTCCTTTCTTTCTTTTATGAGAATACCTGCCCTGCCACCTCTGCTCTTGTTTGGTCCCCAAACAGAGCAAAATCTATTCATCAGCCTTTCATGTAAAGCACCTAATAGTGATGAAGAGACCCCTCACTAGCCATTGGGAGTTTGCTCTACGCTGATCGGGTGGGGGAGTGGTGGCGTGGGACACTCCGGGTTGTTCAGAAGGTGTTTGATGAAATGTCCTAATGGTAAAATTGTTTTTGTTTTGGCCAATTTTTCCTTGTTTGATTTTTGGGTTTAGGCAACTCAAAGGTTAATGAATAATGATTATTTGGTATGAAAAGAAATGTGTATATTTTTAAAGGATACTCATTTTTTTGGAAAATTCCAGCTCAAGTGCAATAATATTCCTCATTCATCAACAAAGCTAGGTTGTGGGTAAGTCATATTCATATTGATATATAATATTAATAGAAACAACAACACGGAAACACTCAAGATGCTGCATCAGATCACTTTCAAAGGAGAAGTGATATTTGAAAGAAAAAAGAGTATGACTAAATTTCTTTTTGCCATCCCACCCTTCTAAAAGTAAGTGCACTTACATCTGTAACTAAACTAAGATAAGCACAGGTAATAATACATCTGAGTCAATATAACATCTAAAAACTACTTAGTCTCCAATTCTCTTCCATTATCCACCTTCTTTCAACAATTTAGGCGAACTCCTACCATTAAGGAAGTCCTTACCATTTGTTTGTGCCTCAATTCCTATTGTAAGATCTGGAACACTGAATATGCATGGTATCCCATCAATTATATGTATTTGCCGTAACACCAATCTACAATAAGGGATTTTCTTTTTAATATGCAATATTGTTGACCTCAACCAACATGATAAACAAACTTGTGAGCAAGTACCACATTATAAATACACACAACAAACATCATACAATCAACAAATAAAATGGCATATCAAGAAGATCGTATCAGAATATTTTTGTTTTATCTCATTATACTTTTAATAGAACCATTTTCTGAAGCACCCATTGCACACTCGTGGCATTTATAGTCCATGCTCCAATATACTGCTAATTTGGATTCCGACACCAAAGGGGCATCACGTATTAAGCTTAAATACCCCTTAAATATGCAGCCCGTGTCCACAAAGACAACCCTAATAACCTTGCTTCATAGAACAGAACCCTCCCATCGAAACTTAAGTCACTATATAGTGTGAGCTTCATAAAACACAATCCTTCCATAAATTTACACATTTATTAATTCATACCTTAATCTGTGCTGTGTCAGTTTAAGTTCTGCCCTAAGCGTACAAAACTCAAAAATTTTGAAATTCTTGAACGAAGCACATACAATTATATGCACACACTGAACTTAAAGAGAGAAGTAAAATGATAGGGCAGACACGACTAGTTCAAAAGAAACACTAGGAACTCATGAACATATATATAGAGAGAGATAGAATTGAAGGAAAACACTAGTTTTAGAGAGAGAAAGAGGGGGGCTTAAAGGGGCGCCTACTCGGCTTGTTCCTTGAAATGGTTAATGCGAGAGTGCATAGCGCGCTTTATCCGAGATTCCATCTTCTCCTCCTCCTCCTCTGGTTCAACGATGGAACCGCCTCGCGCCTCCTCCTCCTCCGCCATGTATATATATCGTACTGTAACTGTGTCTCTCTACTCTCCTCGCAGGTGAATCTCTGTGCGAGCGGTTTTGATGCGTCTCTGTTTAGGGGTATGTGGACTCCTGAGTTCGACTAATAAAGATTCGACTACGCAATTTTTATTTTTATTTTTCTTTTTCCCTACCATCTTTTGCATTTACAGTTATGCCCCTGTTTCCTTGTAAAAATAGAAATAAGGTTGTGCTTGTTTCAAAAGTAAAATGTCCAAATATTGTTTTTCTCATTTAAATTTTTTTTTATCTGAGGAACAATCCAAAATTAGGAAAAAAAGTTAATTGAATGTGGCAACTATGGATATGATATTGAAAATAGACTATTTTAATTTTATATCACATTTCAATTCGAATTTTACTAAGGTGTTGTTTAATAATTCAATTAACTGCTCAATTTTGAACAGATTAAGTAGTAATTCAATTAAGTGTGTTTGATAATGCAATTTTTGAATATCAAACTCTACTTAAAATGATGTAAAAAAAAATTAAGTGATAGAAAAATCACTTATTATTGAATGCGAAATGTTGAAAATTTTAAAAGATATCAAAATATATTTATTTTTTATTATTTATTGAAATTTTCAGTTTTATCAAATAGTACCAAAACTATAATTTTTTTTTTTTTTTTTTTTGGGCACCAAAAGTTCAAAACTATAATGTCGCACCAAGATTTTTCAATAAGTTGAACAGTACCATAAAGGGACTCTACCTATAATGGAAACTATGGAGCCAAGAGCTGTAATCACTAAAAAATCCAAATCACTTAAAAGACTTTTATGATTTTAGGAAACCTAATCCCAAAACTTATGAATTTTAAGGATTGTTGTGATATTTGGTGACTTTTAAGAATACGCTAAAAGTCATATTTTGTCATCTTAGAATTTTTAAGCGAAAATTTTGAAATAGTAAAATTCAGGCTTTTGAATTTTTAAGTGATAATTTTGAAATAATTGCACATAGTAATGTGACTGAAAATGTAAAATTCAGGCTTTTAAAGATGTGATAATAGTGCAAGAATGAACATGACATAACAACTAATGTGTATACACAATGGTTAAATGAAAACATAATTTTGAAAACATGATAATTCTGGCATTATTTAGACTTTTAGCAATGGTTAAACGAAACCATGATTTTGAATATCTGACAATTCTAGCATTATTTCGACGTAATAATAAGATGAATGTGTCAAAATAATGAGAGAATTATAAATAAATAAATAAAATTAAAGTTATTTGAAATCATAGTTTTGTTGGAATATGTTTTAAAATATTTTTATAATGTTTTTGAAAATATGATTTGCTTGTATTATTAGAGCATCTACAGCAAAGGAATGCGTTAAAAAATCATTGTGTAAAATATACACAATGTTTATATTTGTTTTATCTCTAACAATATGTTAAGATACATTGTCACTTCATTAATATGTAATATTATCGAATATTTTACACAATCTTTTTACACAGCCGCATCAGCATATTTTCTCTCTCTTCCCTCTTTCTCATACAATTTAAAGAATCAACCTTATATTAAGTAGGTCTTGGGCATGACACGTGGTCTTTGTTATTGGCTAATATATTTTTTTTGTGTAAATCTAGTTTATGACACATCACATTTACGCAAAATATATATATATACACACACAACACTCAACCATTATAGCATAGTGTAACAGGTGGACGCTTTTCATTTACCCAAAAATTTAAAGTATTAGATAGTGCTGCATACTCATTCATTTATACCCATTTCACTTTTTATTCAGATCCAATGTGGGACATGTGCTATTTGTAACACAGAGTCTCCACAATGGAAACCTAAGAATGATCCGTTGCTCCATTATACCTTAATAAATTACATTAACGTTATGTTTTGAAACGCTGGAAACACGTTTTTTAAAGTCAAAATTAAAAAAAAAATTCAGTTTAAACTTTGAACTAAATTTTTTCCAATTCTAAATTGGTGTCGGATGCTTCCATCAAAAGAGCAATTACTTATAATAAATCAAAAAGCAATAAAGTACAGAGAGCAGTAACATACAAGAGAAAAGGTTAGGCTACAGTGTGAATAAACAAATTGAGTTTTCTTAAGAACCATAAAAGCATGAGTATTATCATGTTTAACAGCTTATTGTGGTTGTTCCAAACAAGTTTTAAGGCTTTCTTATGTTTAACAGCTTCATTTGGGCGCGGGTGCTTGCCTTTTGGGTGGTGTGTTTTGAAAGCGATGCCAGGCTTGACTATCCTAATGTTCCACTTTCAATTCCTGTCTTTCACTTTGTGTTGTTTGGTGAATATTCTAAGGATCACTTCCTTGCCTTTGCAAGGATGTCAGATGCACACTTTTTTTTGTTTTTGTAGTGTTGTGTTTTTTTGCCAGGAAAAAAAGAAAAGAAAATACAGTATTGTGATGACATAAACCCTAGTTTTACTGTCATAATGTTGAAATATTGCTTACATTGACTCTGTTTGTTCCGACGTACCTTTTTCCGGTAAAATATATATTTTTTATTTTTATTTTTCGGTATTTGACAAAGATCCAGATCAAAGTTGAGATCAAGTCCATCGGATAGGGCATCTAAAATACTTTGTAAAAAATTAATAAATAAGTTATTTTTCTTAAGTTTTATATTTTTTTTTCTTTATAAATATTTTACGACAACCAAACATCATAAAAACACAAAACTTTCAAACAAACGGAGCCTAAATTAGCCCATTGAAGGTTTCACATAAACTTTGTTTACTTTTGAAGCAAGTGACAATGGAGAGAAGAGGAACTAAAAGGAAAGAACTTCTGCAGAGAAAAGCCAGTTCCATAGACGCACTACAAGGGAAATAAATAACACACTTTACAAGAATTACACAAATATACATACACCTTGCAAAAAATGCAAAATTGTCATGCTACAAAAAATTTCATTCACACGCCTGTGTTCATCATAACTTCATATAGAAACAGAGTACCATCAACAAGACATATAGGGTCTTAAACAGTGCCACAAAATCATGAAATCATATTTTGGATAGAACCAAGTGCTTTAATAGCTATAAAGTTTAAAATGGTCAGAAGCATGGCGCTATTTGTAACCAATCATAGAAGCTTAAAAAAAAAAAAAAAGAGTGGAAATTTTAACGGCCTTTTGATGACAATCTTGCTATTTTCTGAAACAGGAAAAATAATGATATACCACATTACTAGCCACGAAAAAGTACTCGAGTTTCCAAGAGGAAAAGGACCATTGAAAAGACAATTCGAAATTCAAAAGGCAAAGCGAAAATATGACATGAAGCCATGAATTTTTAGATGGAAGCTCAAAATAATGCAGTCACTTGAAAAGTTCTGAATAATGATGACAAAAATATATTACAGGAACCACGACTTATATATTTCACAGCACAAGGCAATGCAACTGAGTGAAACCAAATGATCGACAAACTAAAAGTTCAAAAAAAAAAAAAAAAAAAAAAAAAAAAAAAAAAAAAAACAACTGTTTGGACACCAAGAAATCAGTATACTGACAACAAAAATAAAGTTAAATACAGCCATCTGTGACCTGATGGAAAGGAAGAAACAATGAGAAACAAAAACTCACCATCCAGGCACGCAGCTGAGGAGAAAAATTACAGTGAGAATGACACCATAAATATGCAAAATAAACCTAAAACAATTGGCAAATTAGCTAATGGAGTCACCAAAGAGCAGCCAGCAGTCGCAGTCGCACTTCCACTGGGGCCACCTACCGGTGGAAATCCAAGAACCGAGCCCGATCCAGGAACCCCTGAGGATGCTGGAATAGTTGTTGCAGTACCACCTGACTGGGAAGGTGAAGGTGCTGGAGCAAATACTGGTTCCTTGCTTACTGCAGTAGGTGGGGCCACAAGTGCAGGAAATTGCTGAGGCCCTGCATCATTTGTAATAATTCATTAGCAAAAAAAAATCACAGATCATAAAGAAATAAAAAAGATATTTAATTAATAGATGTGTGCGTGTGCGGAAAAAGATAATTCATGTGCCAACGAATGGGTTAAAGGGAAGGATGATGATGATTATATGTGTTTAGTGTGTGTACTGAAGCTTTCAATGGTCACACCAAACAGCACTCAGACCCCATAAGGAAGTCATCAACTAACAAGCGAAAACAATGGTACTGCAAACGTAGAATGTTCAAACGGAGTAAGTAAAATGCTCTAATACCCATGATAATTGAAACAGTCCCTTCATCAACTCATAATTTACACAGTTCTTGTTTTTTTTTTTGGGTAAGTCATACTCTATATGACACTTAATAACACAACTCAGTAATGCAATAAATAGACGTAATCATCACAACAAAAGAAGAATAAAAATTTTGTGCCATGTTTTAGAATCTTGAATGCCTATATTTTAAAGAATTAGACTTGTTCAGCTTCAATGGAAAATCCAAAAACCGAACCGAAAATAGGAATGACTTCATTTTTCATTGAGTTTCCATGTACCCCTAACAAACAAATTTTGTTTAACAGTTTACCTGGGCATCGAGGTTGGAGGGTCGTGGACAACCTGCAGGGTGTAAAGATAAGAATTGAAGGATTCAGCCATCAGAATTCCATATAACACGAATCTAACATTCTGGGATGATATATTGAAAGGGGGATTATGGAGGGAAAGAAGAAGCTCACGTGGTCATGATAGTGCCATTGACAGAGCCACCATAAATACAGGAAGTGACGTTGCAACCACCACTACTCTGTTGAACCGTTACATTTCCGAGCATGAGATTACTGTTTTTGCATTGCATGCTCGAGCAAGAAACCGCCAGTGAAGCCGGCATACAGTACAAACTGTATATAACCAACAATCAAGTAGATTAGAATCACAAATATATATACAGAGATAGAACAAGTTATAGTTTTCAGATCATCAAGATGAACTACAAATGTAACTTCAATGCAACCAAAGTTATTCAAATTACTTGCGACTGCCTGGGCCGCAACTGCATTGCACACAGTGACCAGCTGTGATAGCATAACTTCCATTGGGCACAGTCAAGGCAAAATCCGAGGCATATCTTGGAAAGTTAGACCAACAAGCTGTAATACAAGGACGGACAGAAAAAATTCAACCACCATGGATTACCTAACAACCTTATCAATAATGACATCAATAATCAAGAGATTGCCACACCCCAATTAATCTGTAATAACATAAAACAAAGTAATTCAACAAGAAGCAGCATATTACCAGCTTACAACTACTGAAATAATGTATGCTTGGACTAATACATACACGTGAAATGGAAGTAAATTATATCAAAAAAATTAGTAAAACCAATTGCAAAATTTTATAATAATATCAAACAGTAATATGGAACAATCACATTTTGAAAAGGAGAAAATGATGAAGGAAAGTATAAGAAGCTTATACATAGCCAATGCAAGATGTAACCAACTACTAATAAAGTATCCCATCCACTTCTAGCAAGATATCTTCCATTTCACACCTAAAACACACAAATGCAGCTCATAACCTTACAAGCTTTTTCCACCGTTAACTATGTTGAGTGTATCAAGAATTGAGTACCTTACTAATTCAAAATAGAAAATGGTTCTCCTCAAGTTACAATTCTAATAGGCAGATTCCAAGTTGCTAAATGCAGCGAAAATGATAAATAGTTTCGTGTCACCATTAGAAATTTAGATACCCGCCAATGCAAGATGTGACCAACACCAATAAAGTATCCCATCCATTTATAGCAAGATATCTTCCATTTCACACCTAAAACACACAAATGCAGATCATAATCTTACAAGCTTTTTCCACTGTAAACAATAGTTGAACGGATCAAGAATTGAGTACCATACTATTTCAAAATTGAGAATGGTTTACAATTCTAATAGTTTCAAGTTGCTAAATGCAGTGAAAATGCTACAAAGTTTCGTATTACCATTAGAAATTTAGATACCCTTATTCTACATGGTGTCACTTACCTAAAAATATAGTAAAAACAAATGGCTAATGGAATTTTAATAAGGAGCTCATATTAAACACCAAATTCACTAAAAAGGGCTTAACTATATAGAATCCTATAATTCAGTAGTACCATGAAAGGGACATTACAGTTACGTGATAGAAATAGTCACAAAAAAATCAATTATGACACTGCACACAGTTATAATCTGAAAAACACATGTAAATGAGATTAAGTCGCAAACAAATAATAACAATAATTATAATAAATAAATAAATTCTGATACTGCACACAATTATAAACTGAAAAACACATGTAAATGAGATATTAATATTACCAGACAATGGAATAGCTAGTATATCACCAGCCTTTATAGCAGAGCTCCCCAAGGCATTAACAGTCATAAGATCAGTAATAGTTGTTGTATACCTCCCAGCAATCCCAGCCAATGTATCTACAGATTGCACAACATAGGATAGATATACAGCAGGCAAATTATTATCAGTTGAATTAAAGCAAGTACAAGGCAGAGGAACAACAAGGGTCTGTCCAACATCAAGAACCGTAGGGTCCGAAATCGAATTAGCCTCTTTGATTTGATCAGCCGAGACAAGACCCCCATAGATTGAATCCGCAATGTTGGCGAGGGTATCAGAAGGGCGAGTCTTGTAATGGGTGGCGACCGACTTGCGAATGCCGTCCACGCAGGAGCAGAAAATGGGGATTTTGAGGAAGAGTTGGGAGGGGAGGATGTGGTTTTCGACGTCCGGGTAGGTGATGTCGATGGCGTTGGCGGTGAGGAGGGCAATGGGGTCGATTTGGAAGAGGGCCGCCACTTCGGAGACTTTGAGGTCAGTGTAGAGAGTGTAACCCACCAGAGCGTTGCAGAAATCGGAGTTGGAGCATGGCTCGATTGTCGATTTGGGGGTTATAAGACCCACATTTGCTAAAATTATGCAGAAGAACAACAAGAAGAAGGTATTATACGAATAGAGTGAAATGGGTCTTTGATTCGGCATTTCTTGAGAGTTGTAGAGAGTTTTAGAGAGAGAGAGAAGAGAACCTCAGTTGATGTGTGCTTGGTGGGTGAAAAAAGAGGGGTTTTTGCGAAGGATTAACAGATGGGTCTCTGAGGGAGAAAGAGAGGTTTTTGAGATAGAAAGTGGAGAGGGCTCAGTGATGTTTGTTTGATGGAGAAAAAGTTGGGTCTTTGCTATGATTTTCAGATGGGTCTCAGTGACTGTTAGAGAGAGATGTCTAATGATTGAGCTTTTGATATTGAAAAAAGAGGGGTTTTTGCTTTGGGATATAACTGGGTCTTTAGGGTTTTAGTGTTAGCTTTTGCAGTTCTGATTGTTTTCCATGGAGACTTGAAGAAGGTATAGAGAGAAAGAAGGAAAAGGTTCAATGGGTGAATTTTTTTGACAGTATCCAAAAAAAAGAAAAAGAAAGAAAAAAGAAAAGAGATTTTTTTCGCTCTGCGTTGTTTTTGGAACACAGCTGCTAGGGTTTACTCAATTTCATCCAGATGCTACTACACCGCTGTTTTCCAGAAAAGCGATGAGAAAGAATGAAGGAGTTTAGAGAGAGAAAGAGAGGGGTGCTGGTTGAGCGAACAGAGGAAAAAAAGTTTTTCTTTTTCTATTTGAAAGAATGGAGCCAAAGAAATGGAGGGGACAAATGTATTGCATACGTTGCGGATTCAGACATTATTCCAGATTCTCGATCTTTGAGTACAGGAGTACTTGACTAATTTGCCCTCAGGAAATTACTCGAACCTCATACTAGTTTGTAAACCTCGATTTGAATCGGATTAGAATCTAAATTAATAATTAGATGTAGATTGAAATCTTCAATTCCATAATTTTTTAGCGATTCAAATATGATAATTTATTAACTTAACAAATTAGATATAAATTATGGTTAATTTAGTCCTATAATAATTCGATTCGAGATAATATAATACAGTAAATAATGTGCTGTAAATATAAATGCTATAATATATATAATATTTATATATTATTAAAATATTATTTATCATTTTTTTTTTCTTCTTGTCTCATCTATTTATTTTGTCTCTTTTTGTTGTTTTTTTTTTCTTTAATAAAAAATCAAATACCTAATTTTCTACTCTCTCTTTCGTTTATTTTTTATTTTTTTTCTTCGACTTCACTCTTTTTTTTCTCAATCTAATCATTGTTTGTCTTTTGATATTGAATTTTTTAAATAATATATAAATATATATCATTTTCGAATTGTTGAATGGACTTTATATTCTACCCTTTCAAAATTGAGTTATTAAATCGAATATCCGATTAATAACAAGTTGAATATTGATTTAAGTCTAAATAATCAGTCGGGTTATGGAATAGGGTAAGATCAGACATAACTCTTATTGGATCCCACTCTGATCTGTTTACACCTCTACTTGCTTTATTTAGTTTTTTTTTTTTAAAAAAAAAAAAAATTCTCAAAGAACAAAATTATTTTCTAAAAATTATAAAAAATAGTTATTTAAAAAAACATTTTTTTAGTTGAGCTTTCAAACACTATCAACAAAATAGACGTTTTTTCAACAAATATTTTATTGTCAATTCTAAAAATAAAAATTAATCTAAAAAAGTTGAACCAATTGAGCTCTTTAGCTTCTTTAAGGATTTTTTTCTTTTTTGATAATAAGTCAAATTTGGGAGTTGTAACAAACTTTATGAACTGGTTTATTAAGTGAATCATTCTCGAATTATCCTAGAATATTTTTCCTCTATTGTTACTACATATATGATTACTTATTTATACTTTTTTAAAAAAATTCATATTCATTATTGATTCATATAATAGAACATCAATATAGATAAATGGTTAGAGGGGGAGAGATACGTTCGCAAGTACTGTTTTGTGAGAATTTTTAAGTTGCTCTTCATCTCCCTCCCCTTCTAACAACTAACCATCCGTAACATTCTTGTCATAATTACAAGTGATTATCAAAAGATAAAAGTTGAGAAATGATTTAAAATTCTACCAATGATAAGGGTGTATAGGTAATTTGGTCATTCTTTCAAAATGAAAGACAGGTGAGCGCATCCAAGTATACCCTACCTTCTTTCAAATTAAAAAGCATCCAAGTTGCTTTTCAATGCTTGCGGAAAAGAATATTTGATTTCGTACTGTTGGCACTATTATTAGCTCTCTCCAGTGTCCACGCGAATTTCCAGCGCGTAAGAAGCAAACTCTTGAAACCAACGTAGTAGCTGAGAAAGAGTATAATTATTCACTAATTTTAAGGATTCAAGTATTTTTTTTTTTATTATTATTATTTTTTTTACATATACATACTAGATTTTGTATCTGTGTGCGTGTAACTCTGTTTAATTTGTTGAATTAACGAAATATATAAGGTTCAATTTAGAAATCTTTAATTTAGATTTAACTAGTGCATTATTCAGTGACTTTAACTTCTTTTAATTTTTCGAATGAATATGCCCCTATTTGAGTCCCTACCTCTAATTCATAAAAATATATATATACATATCATAGGGTAAAATGCAAGAACCCCTTCCCGGCGCGATTATTGAAAAACTTGCAACTAACCCCCTAAACTAAAAAAAATGCAAGAAATCTTCTGGACTATGCAAAATTATTGCAGATGACCCCATCCATCCAATGTCCGATGATACATGACCGTTAAAATTGGTTTCTTAAATTTAAATGACCATATTGCCCATATAGGCATGAAAGGACAATAATGCCCTTAACTTCCAACCGTTAGACCCAAAGGCCGTAAAATGGAACACAGACCCAAACACGTTTTTATCAAAATTTCCCCAAATCAAACAGCTCTGCAACTGCTAGGGTTTGTCTTCGTTTTCAATCAGCCGTGCATCTTGGTGATTTTGGTGGTCAAAAACAAGATAACATCATTGTGCTTTCGTGCCAATCAGCTCCTGCCTCAATTTGATGAACTTATGATGTGATTTGCCTATGAATTCTATGGTGGCGGCGCAGAACAAGCTGCCCGTGGAGAGATCCCGGGCAAACTCATGATTCTCACAAAAAAGGACTGCTCTCAGAAGTGAATGGGGATGGCAAGAGACCTATTGATGCATGGACACCCCTTATGACGCAACTCCACCCCACAGATATTGATTAGCTGAAAACTAGGTTGTCGGATAACCACAAAAATGGACTGCCACCACCCCCACAAACCCACTGCTGCCGCCACCACCCCACCACCACACCTAAACCCATAGAAACTCAAATAATTAAGACCAAACCACATATAGTAAAATCCAATTGAACAAAAAAACTCACTCCCGCGACCACCATCACCGCTACCTCCATCACCTACCTGGCCTCTCCACTGACACTACCCCCACAAACCCACTGCTGCCGCCACCACCCCACCACCACACCTAAACCCATAGAAACTCAAATAATTAATAACAAACCACATATAGTAAAACCCAATTGAACAACAAAACTCACTCCCGCGACCACCATCACTGTTACCTCCATCACCTACCTGGCCTCTCCACTAACACCACCCCCACAAACCCACTACTGTCACCACCACCCCACCACCACCCCTAAACCCATAGAAATTCAAATAATTAAGAACAAACCACATATAGTAAAACCCAATTTAACAACAAAACTTACTCTCGCGACCACCATCACCGCTACCTCCATCACCTGCCTGGCCTCTCCACTGACACCACCCCCACAAACCCACTACTGCCGCCACCACCCCACCACCACCCCTAAACCTATAGAAACTCAAATAATTAAGACCAAACCACATATAGTAAAACCCAATTGAACAACAAAACTCACTCCCGCGACCACCATCACCTACCTGGCCTCTCCATCGATTTGGGAATTCAAACAATTCAAGCTAAATCATACATCATTAAACTCAATCGAACCCCACAAACTCGCTGCCATCGCCGCTATTACCACTTTTTCCTCCGCCTTCTCCGCTACTCTGATATGTCGATCTTTCGTCGTTACTAAGGAGAAGACCACGTTCGCGGCACTGATTTCCCATCAAAGATAGAACGTTATCTCTTCGGTGTGCTATCAATCTCCCATTCGCCATTGAGATTTTTGTTGCCACATCAGCAAGTTAATATGATAATACTTTAAACGATGTCGTTTCATAGTAAGGGCAAAAATGTCATTTATCTTTTCCAGTGACCTGATGGGGTAATATGCAACAAAATTAAAGTTCGGGGGGGGGGGGGGGGGGGTTAGTTGCAAAACCCCAATAGTCCAAGGGAGGATTTCTTGCATTTTACCCTATATCATATTTAATCAAATCAGTAAAGTAAATATAAAAACTCTAGTTAGACTCGTGGAGTTTGGGTCAATTTATCCAATATCTTAGTCTAGTTCAACCAAATTTAATTAAGATTAAGATTTTTCAACACTCAAGATTGATTCAAATTTGAAAATTTGTAATCCAACCCCTTAAGAGATGGGTCAGATTGATTCAACTAAGTTGTGAACTTGTGTAGATGAGTTGTTAAACCTTTAGTTATTATTTGTTTTATTATTTATGCATAGTTTAACACATCATAATTATTTAATATTAGTGTTAATTATCATTATCATAAAATACTGATTTGTTATATAGTCGTATAATTTTAGAGAGAAAGTTTTTAGATTATTTTGAAATAAAATAAAATAAAATAATAGATTGGTAAACAAGTCCCATTCCAGAGTTTATGTAATTATAGATGAGTCATTAAATGGACCTGACCCTATGAATATAATTATAAACATTCTACGGTCTGATTGTGAGGCAAGACAAAATTATGATTTTGTTATGAATTATAATATAAAGTAGGCCACGGATTAAATTTATATGAATAAGGGATAACATCATAATGGTATTATTATATTTAATGACGTCATGATGATATCATCTCTCACTTATATAAAATAGTGAATTGTATCCTATTTTTGGATCATTTATCATTATTTTTTTGTTGTCTTACTTGATTAACCTAATCTGTAAAGGTATGGAGAGTCTCGTCCCATATTAGATCCGAATGGAAAATGTAATGGGTATAAATGAGTTGGGTGTTTGCTCTACCTAATAATTTAAGTTTTTTTGTTGGATTATGAAGCACCTGACTCGTTACAGTTAGTATCAGAGTCGGTCCTTCATTTGGTGTCACGCCAAGTGCTAGCCCTGGAGGCGTCCGAGTGGCCAACTCGAGTAGACAAGGTGGCTCGACTGCAACTATGGCATTGCGTGTTCAGGTAAGGGAGAATCATATAAGGGGAGTCTTATCCCACATCGAATTCAGATGAGAAATGTAATAGATATAAATGGTTTGGGTACTCCCATCTAAAAGTTTAAACTTTTGAGTCGGATCACGAAGCTTGAAATTCATTTGGTAATTAAAATTTTGGATTACCGGGCTTTTGGAAAGATTTTTACTATATAAATCCATAAGTCCCTATTCTAACGCCCAAATATTTTTGAATCAAGCCTAACAGCTTAATTATACGGACCTTGCCTCGATCTAAGCCATTTTGTGTGAAAAGTTACTGCTAGCAAGGAAGGTGTTACAAGTGGGACTTATACCACATCGGATCCGGATGGAAAATGTAATAGGCATAAATGGGTTGAGTGTTAGTCTCATCTAATATCTTAAGTTTT